TACCTAGCAGAGCCATCTCCCCATGGAGGCGCTGGTAGCATATCCGTTCTGTTATTCTGTTATTTGTTGTTGGTATTGACGGTGCCCAACTTCCACAGAGGCCTCTTCATCTTAGCTCCGAGACCAAATACCGCTTTTATTAGGGCTAGGATTATAAATTGCATGAGGTTTTAATTGCTTTATTATTAGTGCTTATATGTTCAGTGTTCCCCCCACACCCCCGAATATTGAACTTTTCAGGAACGCATGTATCATAATACAGTAGACACACTCCTAAGTAAAAAAAAAAAAAAAATACCACTTGGTATTATTTCAAAATACTATATGGGGAAGAGATCGTTTGTTTGCTTGTGCAGCATCTATTAAATGTCTCTCTACTTGGCAAATTCAAACGCACGCCCGACACTGGGAGAGCCCTCTCCTCCACGAGCTTACATGCCGACCGTAAACAGATTGTTGAGAACAAAGGAATACACGTGATCGTGGAAGCAATCCCAGAATGACGAGTCAGGAGCGGGTCCGAAGGGTTCTTCCTGTGGGTGTCAGGAAAGACAGGACGTTGGCATGGTCTTAAAAGATGGAGGAGAAAGGCGTGGGCGCAGGTGGGATTGAACAGCGTCGGTCACGGTGGTGGCATGGGCACCGAGTGGAGCGGCAGGGGAGAGCCACCCAGAGCGCGGCCAGCGCCGCCAGCCTCGGCTCCACTGCTCCGAGGCGTCCTGTGGAGTGGAGGGAGCGTTCTCCCACCAGCCAGCTCTGGTCCGGAAGGAGAGACGTAACTTGATGAGAATTGTTTTCCGAAAAATCGCTGGTGCCTACATGAGGAATGAACTCGAGGGGACAAAGACAGATGCCAGGGACGTCAGAGGGGAGGCCGTGTTAATACTCCAGGCAGAAGTGATGAGGGCCCGAGCCGGTGGCCGTGAGGGTGATGAAAAGGGACTTTAGCCAGAGGACATTTCTGCGGGAGAACTGACAGGTCTGATGATCGATTAGATGTGGAAAGTAGGGGCCATACGTCAAGGATGATTTTAAGAGTGCTAGCCCAGGCAACAGGGTGCAGGGGAATGCCAGCGGCCGAGGTGCAGAATTCCAGGGGCGCACAGGGCTGTGGATGCAGACGGAGGATTCCACGGCTCTATTTTCACAATGTCGGCTCTTTCAGAAGTAGACTGGGCGCCTTATTTTCTGCAAGACAGTTGCAATATTGGGGGTGGAGGGGCCAGGGTTGAAATGTATTCAAGATAAACGCATTATGTGCATGTATGGAGGCAAAATAATGAAACTCATTAAACATTGTTTTAAAAAAAATGAGGGGGAGAGAGAGTAAGCGAGGTCTGAATGTGATCAAAGACCATTTGTGCATTATGGAAATAGTGCCACAATACTCCCTGGACAAGTAACACACACGAATGCAAAGGAGATATTCAATCACTTGGTTTATATGTGATAGCCAAATAATAGGTGGCCTAATTTTCTGATCTGTTGAGTTTTACTCAGAGATGTTTACAAAGAGATCCAGTAAAGATCTATACTCTCAACATTTGGAAATATTATTAAAAGCAGCCATGTGTATTTCCAACCTGAAAAGCATCTGTATGGGTTGGCAAGCACGCAGTGTGGAGATTGGGAGAAAAACAGTAAAATCTGGGGTGGGAGCTGTGCGTGTCGTAACAAAGGAGAGACGTGTTCTCAGGGAGACGCTTGTAGTTCCATAAAGAAGGCAGCACACATCCGTGAATTAATAGGAATATATATTCTAATTAATTGACAGCAAGAGCTGATGATAGAATGAAAGAATAGATCTCCAGCTCCCTAAGCAAGCGCCCAGACGCAGCTAAATAAATGGCAGAGACTCTGTGAGGCTCTGTCGCTGTAATATATGAAGCAGCCTTACCATAATCAGCCTCTGTTTTCCTGTCCTCCAGCTATTATTTTGAATTTGGGGTTCTTTTTTACACTTATATTTCATAGGCACAAAAGAGGAAAAAAAATCTCGAGATGGAAATTAGAACAAAGAGAAAAATTTAAAATTCAGGAAGAACATTGTAATTCAGACAAAATGGCCAGCACATGGAATTCTTGAGGAGTCTGTGACTTCTATAAAAATGAGCCAAGGCATTTTTTGTATAAGAAGGGCTGGGTTATCTGGGACCATCAATATTTTCTTGCCGTGGTCTTTTGACCAAAACATTGTCATAAAGAGGATTAGGATTTAAAACACAATCTTCTCTGCAGTAAATTAATATATCACTTTGCCTCACTAGTAGTCTGTTCAACAAAACATCAAGCAGGCTGAGGGGAAAGCTCCGTGCTTGCCTGGTATACACGAGGCCCCTGATTCTATTCTCCAGCACTGGAAAAAAAAATCAGATTCATCTACATACATATCAGATCTCTAATAGGTGTTTAAATAAATCAAGCTAAAAGGGCAGAGGAAGGTGTTTCCTGAAACCTGAGCACTGGTCTAGATTCTTGATTTCCATGTAGATTTTTGCAGGCGGTTTGCTTACCAAAAAGAGAGAGAGAAATGCTAAACATGACACTTGTGAGTTTTTATTGTCCTGATTTTGCAACACAGAAACATTTTAGACTAAACTATTCATACAAGCCTTTTATTTTAATATGCAATTGATTAACTAGTATTGCACGTAAAGAGAGAATAATTGTAAATTGCCCAATAGTCTATAAATATTCCCCTTAGGAGTGCCAAAATTGCAAGCCGTAATAATATGAGAATGATAGAAAACTTGAGTCAACTTCTGTAAATTAAAATCTATTTCTTAATGATGTCTCTACCAAACCAATGTTACCATTCCCATTTACTGAGTAATTGACGTGGGGCCAGGCTGCGTGTGGGAGGAAGGACATAAAGGCAAATAAAATTCAATCTCTGCTCTGTAAAAATTAGTAGTTCCGAGGAGAAGTTAAAAGTAGGAAGAGCTGCTTACAAAAAGCAAGGGTAAATGCTTCTTCTCTGTACAGTGGCATCATTTATACTCGACGTGAAGAGAGCTCTCTACAGGATCCTGACCGTACGAAGTTCCCAATACATAGAAAAGATGAGGCAGAGGTCTGGGCCGTGGAGCGGCGACCCTGCGGCCAGTGTGAGGCCTTTCACGCCGGGTGCAGAAATGGCACTTGCTGCTGCTGCAGTTTGGGGCTACAAAAGAGTAGTGGGGAACGAAGGCTCGGAACCGGGTTGGAGCGGGGTTGTCGGCACGGCAGCACCTTAAAGCCTCACTGTTTACCCAGACTGGCATATGTTTTAACTCAAGAGAAAATTGCTCATAAATCTCTTGGCTTCGTGCGCGTTTCAATCCTGTTATGGGAATTGGGAGTTTGGCATCTATACACTCCAGAAGACTCCAACCACTTCTTAAGACTCTGCTTGTAATTTTTTTTTTTTTTAGCTCAGGACATCACAAAAGACACCAGATTCCTAGGGATCCCACACAGAGATTCCAGGAATTTATCCATTAACTTTGTTCTCTGCGAGGTTTTCTGAAATTGCATGAAGGATTATCGTGCGATGCACAGTACGAGGCAAAACTGGAAGGCTCCGGGAGCTTGGACTCAAGAAGAAACACTGAGGGGGTGTTCTGTGCTCCTTTACAGCTCTGCAAAATCTTCGTATTGTGCCACACAGAGGAATGAAGTCTGAAAGGGAGTCAAACGGTAGGAGGGCCCCGCTGACAGCTGGATCTGTTGGAAAGCTGCTCACTTATGAAAAATGCTGTGAGGAAAAGCGGTGCATTTCCTGCTTGGCATTCACTTTAATTCAGCAAGACTTTCCTCAAAAAAAAGAGAAAGTAAAATAGCAAGAATATGGTAAATGAAGTGCATTTTTATTTGTTTATGGCTTGAGAGTTTCTGCCTGGTAAAAAAAAAGCGACAAGGCCTAAAGGCAAAGGAATCTTGCCTCTCAAAAGGCAAACGCTGCCGATGGGAATACAAGTTGAGCGAGGTATTGGGAGACTGTGCATTGCTCTCGTGGGGGAAGCGTACCTCCATCTGGGAGACTCCCAGGCTCATTCAGGCCACCAGGGTACCCGTTAGCACATGGCTGTTGTAATTCACTAAATGGAACCCTGGTGGCCTGAAAGAATCGATGCTACCAAAGAGACAAACTTACCTACGGGGAGCAAATTAGGTGTTAGCAGAATGTCTGATTATTTTGCCATTTGTATTTATGGAGTCAGTGAGTCAACAAGTATTTATTGACGCCCCACCCGCTGCCGTTGCTGTATGGCTCAGTCATGAACGTATGGGTAGTGTGGGTACTTATTAGTGGTTAGACACAGCTGCCTGCCCTCAAGGAGATTTACAATCTAATCAAGACGATAACTGTCCTTGGAAATAGACACATGAATAAATACCAGAGAAAATTAGGAAGGCTGAGTTGCAGATTTTCTTGACACTTTGGGAAATGCAATATCCATAAATCAGGATAAACCTTTCTGGAAGTTCAACTTTGAGGGTTTTTTTTTTTTTTAATTACTTGGTTCCTTTCATTTGGATTTTTTTGTGTCTGTGTGTATTGTTTGTTTTTATTTATTTATTGTGCTGATACTGGAGCTTGAACTCAGGGCCTGGATGCCGTCCCTGAGCTTTTATACGCAAGGCTGGCATTCTACCACCTGAGCCACAGCTTTTCACTTCCAGCTTTTGGGTGGTTAATTGGAGATACAAATCTCACCGATTGTCTTGTTTGGGCTGGCTTTGAACCACAGTCCTCAGATCTCAGCCTCCTGAGTAGCTAGGATGACAGGCGTGAGCCACCTGCCGCTGTCTGTTTTTATAAATTGAAACAACAGCGATGCATAGATGCCATATTTATCACCAGTATTGGAGCGGTATATAAAACTCCTAAGCGCAAGAGCAATTTAAAAATGCTTGTTTGAGGGGCTGGGAAGGTGGCTCAGTGGTAGAGCGCTTGCCTTGCATGCCTGAGGCCCTGGGTTCGATTCCTCAGCACCACATAAACAAAAAGAAAAAAAAGCCGGAAGTGGTGCTGTGGCTCAAGTGGTAGAGCGCTAGCCTTGGGCTGAAGAGCTGAGGGACAGTGCCCAGGCCCAGAGTTCAGGCCCCACGACCAGACCAAAAAAAAAAAAAAATTCTTGTTTGAAACCATTTTGTGGTTTTACTCTTATTGTTAATTAGAAGATAAACTTGGAGCAGAGATACGGTTGCTGCTGGCAGAGGATGTGCATGCGAGCAGTCCTTGAGAAAAGCCTTCTGTATGTCTGAATAGAGTGGATGGTTGGTGGGCACAGAGGGGAGACAGACCCTGACAAGGGGAGTTGAGCTGGGTCTCCTAGAATGCTCTTCCCAGGAAGGAGCTCCAAGGAGTAACAACTGAAGGCCAGGATGTAGCTCAATGCTGGAGTCCATCCTTAGCACACACAAGGCCTGCACGCAGCCTTCAGCGCCCAAAGGGACAAGGAAGTCTTTTCTAGTGAGTATGTAGTAGAAAGATGGACTGGCAAATAGTGCTGGCTTCTTCTCCTGCATTTCATTATCGTCCATGACAGCAACAGAGTAACAAAGTTTTGAGCGAGAGCTGCAGGGTGTCTGCCTTCAGACGCGCCTCCTCGTGTCTGGTCTTCTGCGGCACCTGTCTCTTCACGCACAAGGCGCTTCAAGGCACAGCCTTTCACTCAGGCATGCGCACGCAGAGGCTTAGGCCACAGCGCAGAATCTCTGAGTTCATGTATTACTTGTGTGGGGCTATACAGAGCTTACACTAGCCTTCTGGTAATTCAGGGCACACCTGAGCTCTACCAAATACACACACGCGTGGTCCATGTTTGCTTACTCACTCTCGAACCCTACAGCACTAAGCTCCAGGTCGGCATTTCTTTGAGTTATTTCATATTCTCTCCCTGATGGGTGATCAATCACCAGAATTCTTTTCACTGGTGTATGAGAAAGAACAGGCTTTAAAAAAAAAGCAAGAGATTACAATCTTGAGGATGATAGTAGGAAATAGTACATAACCAAACAAGCTCACTCATATCCTAAAACCAACCTGAAATTCACTGAAGGCAGTAAACAGTAACATACAGACACCCCCAAAATAAGTCATTACCAATGGAAATAAATGCCTACTTACCTCAGGGCACTCATCGGGCTGAATTGTTATTCAGCTTTTTGGTGTGGAGGGCTCATCCCAGGGCCTCGCACTTGCTAGGCAAGCTCTCTCCCAGAGCTCAATCCCAGACCCCCCCCCCAAAAAACGTCTATACAAATAAGAATTCCAAGCTGGGTGCCGATGGCTCACGCCTGTCATCCTGGCTACTCAGGAGACTGAGATCTGACGATCACGGTTCAAAGCCAGCCCAGGCAGGAAAGGCCATGAGACTTTTATCTCTAATAAACCACCAGAAAACTGAAGTGATACTGTGGCTCAAGTGGTAGAGCACTGGCCTTGAGCTAAACAGCTGAGGGGTAGCGCCTAGGCCCAGAATTCAAGACCCACAACTGACAACAACAACAACAAAAAGGATTTGAGAGCTGTGTTCCAACCAGTTCATGTTGACACACTGACTCCCAACCTTTCCACTATCACCTCCCAAAACAGGACTCTTTTTTTTCCCCCTTCAGTTACCAGTGCTCTTTCTATTTTGCTTGTTCTATTCTCAGATTTGTTCTTTTTCCATCTTTACTTGGCCCACAACACCACAACCACCACAGACAGTGGAGAGGGGGTAGAGAAGAGGATCGCTCTCAGTTAATAGATTCTGATTTAATAGCTTCTTCCATCACAGATGTTGACATTTAAAACTTGAAAAATCGTCTGAGTTTAAACCTTGTCTGAACTTGACGGCATATAAGTAATGAGCAGGAGTGTGGGGACCCCTGCACCTGGGTCTGCCCCCTAGGGAATTCCTGGCCGGGGCTCCGCTGTCATCCCCCAGGTATGGCAGACAATGGGGAAGAATGCCTAGCAGGCCTCGCTCACCAATCCAGTGCTCAAGCTGTTAGCACAGCACTGGTGTTTCAACATTCCTTGGGCTTTACCATCTTTCTGTTCATTTTAAATGAAGAAGTCAGAGGCAGATCTTATCAAATCCATGATATTGTTAAGAGCACTTGCAGGCAGCTTTAAAAACAAGAATTACTTACATCAACCTACTTTATTGCTTCATTTTCTGACTCCAAAGGACACAAAGTAGACTGAAGCAATTTAGCATGCCTGTAACCTACAATTTCACCTCACCCCGAGGGCCTATTTCAACTCTTGCTTTCTTTTTTTTCTAGACCAAATCAATAGAGGGAGAATCCAGCCAAGACACATGTCATAACTGTATTAAAGGTCAATGAGGTTTAAACAAATTGGGCCCCATTCATAAATAATTGACTCACTTTATACCGGGCACAGGGCGAAATACTGTGCACCCAAAACAGCTTTAAGGTTAATTCCACCTTCGGTTGACGACACTGGGAGCTAGGCCTAAACCCATGCTTGGGTCTGAAAGTCAGCTACCAGCCAAGGTGTTCTCTTTGACAAAGTTACTCTCCAGCTGTACAGCCTCCAGGTATGGCCTCCTCTTCCCGGCCTCTACTTTTCATTGCCTGGACAGGCTGTAACTGCCAGTAAGGCTCGAAGGGGCCTATACATTCTGCGGTGGTAACTCACTGTATTTGGGGAAATTCGAGGCTATGGTCACAGTTGTATAATTGGCAAATCACACGCCAGAACCCAGTACTGGAATGAGACGTAAAGGAGCTAATAAAGGAGCTCCTGGGGGTTTTCTTGTCACACGTAGATGGCTCCGCCATGCTGCCTTTCTGCTCTTGTCTTGTCTTGAGTAATAACCAGATGCTTAGATCGGTGACAGTCATCTCGAAATGGAACTGACAGGTGAGAAAATAAAAATCTAATTTCTAAGTAGGGTGAAGAAAAAAATGGAAAGAGCTTGGGCCTTTTAAGAAGCTGTTAAGCTGCCATGCATTCCCAGACATGTTGCTTTGTGAGATAATTAAATGTCTCTATTGTGGAAAGCCAAAAGCTCCCCTCACCGGTCTCCACGGCGGGGAGGGGTCCCTCTTCTCTGGGAATTTATTACTGATTCAGGGAAATAATACAAGTAACTGTTACGACTAATAGAAAAGTATGGAAGCCACACGGAAAGAGGAAATGGCTGAGGTTTTATAGATGGGCGGGCCTCGGACCGCCCGTGACCCACGCCGGGTCGGGGAGGTCTTGGAGAGGAGCTGTCGGGAGAGTCTGCACCTAGGTCCTGGCTCTGCCGCTGAAAGCTCTGCAATCCTGAGCCTGTGGTTGGAACCCCTCCGACCTTAGCTCTTCTTGAGGGCTTCAGTGGCTGTTAGCAAAACCCTTGGGCAAAGACCCTTGAGCCAGGCAGGCCTCCTACCCTTCTCCCAGGTAGATGGAATGGCGGCTGCGGGCCACACGCCTGGCTGGTGGCTGACACAAAGTCTTAGGAAGGACAGCCTGGGTTAGCCCCAGCTGGTGATCCTCCTATCGGTGCCTCTTGAGTAGCTGGATTACAGGAATGTGCCCCCGCGCTTGGCCCTCACTGAGTATCTTAACAAGGAAAATCACACCCTCGAGTCCCGCTCGCCGAGTGAACTGGGGGATGACGCTTGCAGTATAAATGAGCAGGGCCCATGTCATCACTGCTGCAGCAGCAAACTCTCGCTCTCTCCAGAACAGATAGATCGCAATCTAGAAATCGTCTCTCAGTGCAAGGAATAGATGGTACTGCCCTTCAGCCTGGAAATTAGAATTTGGGTTTGTTTTTCCAAATAGTAAATTGGATTTTGGAAGAGGAAGGAAAAACCATTAACACTATTCAAAGGGGAAAAGATTAAGTAGTTTTCAATAAACGACAGCCAGACAATTGAACGTCCACATGCAAATAAGTAGAGGTGTCTATATTGAAGTCTTTATCACCTTGGATTATGCAGTGTTGGTGTGGAATCAACAAAAGAATAGAGATGTTGACTTGTAGCAAAGGAAGCCTCCCTTTCCTCGATCTCACCACATAGAAATCACTATGTGGCTCAAGCTAACCTTGAACTCACAATCCTCCGCCCCCATCTCCGTCCACCACAGCCAACCGCTATGCCAGTTTTATATCTGACAAAATTTGAGCATGGGAAGATTAGGTAATGCATGTGGCTTCCATGTAGCACAAACAGACATTAAACACAAGCACGGGTGCTCCACTGTTCAATGCTGAAGATGGATCTTCCTGCCCTACAAGCTGATTGTGTGCAGAGCTTCCTTCCCAACTTTAAGTTCAATTACCGAATGCCGGCAGTCTGAAATTGGCCATGATGGAGACAGTAAATATTTGCACCATGGAAATTGCTAAGCACTTGGAGTGCTGTCTTTTTATGGACAACCAGTTTATCTGCTCTTCACTGTACTATCAGCCTTTGTAGTCACCACTAAATACAATGACTTATTTAAGAAATACACAATAAGGGCATTTAGAAATTTCTATCTAGCATCAAGAAAAACCATCCATTTAAATATTTGAGCTATAAGCCTTCTTCTTCTTGACACCTACTATATTTTGATAAAAACAGCTTTACTAATTCTGAAAGTGTGAGACATTCTATTCTCAAATTCTATTCTTATGTCATAGCAGCAAAGTTTTAGAAGGGTAAAGTCAGTAAATAGGAAGCAATAATCAGGATTGAATGTATCATGACCAAGAATCAACATTATTATGTATGTTTTTGCCATTCTCTGGACAAGGCTATAAAATCAACATTATTATGTATGATTTTGCCATTCTCTGGACAAGGCTATTAGCCAGAAGGCCGGGGAAATGGTTCATAAATGTTAAATATGCAATTTTTCTCTACAGCATTCTTCTTTTACCAAGTAGAATTTGAACATAAAGATACTATAGCTACTTCATAGCAAGCAACTGATGCAAAGTGATGAACTTATTTACGTGAATCATGACTTATGAGAGGACAACTTTCTTTTAAAGGGAAGTCACATTAGAGGTATAGAGACATGAGAACATCACGTTTCCTTCCTTTCTGTTAAGCCAGAGCAAACTAATTGCTGCTTAAATTTTCTAAAGCTACTGTCCTCCTGAGTTGACGTTTTCCACCCTCAGGAAGTGTTTCTTTTCCAACACAGTGTCCTGTGAGCATCGCTGTGTGTTGGTTCACCGGTTGTCCTTCGTCTCACCGTTTTGTGATTTCCCCTTCCCTTCCTCAAATCAGATAGGCAAATGCACAAGACACAGGGCACCGAGATCCAAGACAGTGATAACAGGGGATAAGCCAAAGGGGGAATAAAAAATACCTTCACACTTCATATATTTTTTTAAAAAACACTCTTTTTTTCCATATCTTGGAGTTCATTTCAATTAGTGCCATTAGGTTTTAAGCTAGGTCTAATTGTACCTAGAATAAGATTTTTGCCCAAAGAGGTAAACAGTTGTGTGGAGAAAAAGAAATGTGTACTTCTTTACATTGCTGCCTAAATGGTAAGGGTCCTGGGGCCCCAAGGAAGGTGAGAAGGGTATAGACATGGGCAAATGGAGAAACATTTGCACAGAAGCAACATCTGTATGCTCACGTCATCGCTTATTTACCTGTTGGACACTTCCATGTCCTAAAATTAATTTGCCTGATCTTTGTTTCCCTGATAGAATTTTTCTCAGCGGCGCAACTCTGAATCTCCTCTCAGTCCCAAACCACAGTATCTCTATTCTTTCTCCTTCATTATTAATCACTTATTAGGAAGTTTATTTTGTACCATGGTGTGTGTGTGTGTGTGTGTGTGTGTGTGTGTGTGTGTGGTGAGTCACGTGTGCTCTGCTGGGGGGGGGGGGGGCGAGGCTAGCCAGACAATGACAATGCAGCAAAGATGCCTGGGCCTTGCCCTCACAGCCGCAGCCCGAGGGCCTGTAGCCCAGGCCAGTCCTGAACTGGCTATGTAGCTCTGGCTTGTTTTGAACCCATGATTGATTCTCCTGCTGGGATCACAGGTGTGGACCACCACAGCCAGCACAGCTTTTCATGGGAAGGAAAAGCCAGCCGCACAAAATGAAGTCATCAATCCCTTCAGCCCCCACCCCACCTTGCCAGTGCTGCGGTCGATGGCCCAGGGCTCCGGAGTGGTTGAGGGTGACCCCAGAAGCTGCATTCTTGCCAAACTGGACAGCATTTGGGTGGGACTAGTCAGACGGCTGCGTGGCTAACTGACTGACTTTACTCTGGAGGAGTAGTCCTCACATGATTGTGTACCTGAACCCCCTGCCATCACAGCCAAAGTGTGGGGAACGTTTGCTGCGGTAAGATTTCATTGAAATGTAGGAAGAAGATGATTGCCACAGCCTCAAGCTCCCTTTAGGCTAGGAAGTATTTGCTATGCATGGCCTCACTGAGCTGAAGGCAGCATGGCCAGTACTCATGGAGAGGAGCCCTGGGCCTAGGAGGTCCCTGTGCTGCCCAGTCCCAGAGAGCCTGCAGGAGCAGGGTGTACCAAAGCCACTGCAAACCCCTGCGCCTCCCTGATCAGAATGCCAGCGTCAGCAAATATGATCCAAACAACACTAACTGCACGGCATGGAGCCCTGAAGACGTCTGACATGTGCAGACCTGAAGGGCAGTGGGAAGTCTGGTGGAAACCCTGGTGACCACAGTTGTGTGCTGGGAACCAGGAAGGGTGACTTGTAAAACCATGCACCAGTTCCCAGGGGAGGTCCCACTCTGCCGCCAACCAAACTGGACAGGATGTGTGGGGATGGGCCCACAGGAGCAGCTCTCATTGTGACTGCCCCATTCTGCCTTGGTCAAAGGTTCTGGCCACACCCCCTATTTTTCCCCTGTTTTTCTGACCAATGGGATCCAAGAATAGAGGCTACGCCCACCTTCCATGCTGCCTAGTAGCCCTGGTATTCCATACCACTACCAGCCGTGGAGGGAGGTAGAGGTATGGAGTGGTGAGGGAGCAAATTGAGGTGAATCGAGGTGACATAGTTGGTGCATCGAGGTAGATATAGTTGGTGGTGACTGGAGAATGGACGTGACATCCGAGAGCCTGGGAATGTGGCCCCCACATCTTCCCCGTCCCAGAGCTGGGATGTCTGAACAAACACGACTGAAAAAGTTAGCCGCAGGAAAGAGACTCCTGGAAGAATACTAGCGGAGGAATGGTCCTGCCGGATCTGCAGAACTCAAGAGAAAGAAGAAGACTAAAAAAGGAGGTAACCCCAAGACAAACGCCGCCGGGGACGGTCATTCAGCTGAGGGTGTGGCCACAGACCACGCAGGCCTTGAGCCTTCCCCGCTTCTGGGCACAGTCAGAGCTGCCTGGGTTGAGAGTGACCCGGGTCCCTCTGCCACCGAGGACCTCGAAAGGTGCTACCAACATCTGGTGCTTGCCCTCGATGCCAGCAGAACGCAAAATGAGCAGCTCTGCAGAGAGATCGACCAACTGAAGCAAGAGAATAAGTAGCTGCAGGAGCTGCAGGAGGAGACCGCCTGTGTGCACGAGGCACGGGGAGCAGAGCGGGAGCAGCACAAGCTATCAGTGCAGATGGTGGCTTCAGAAAAATCCAGTTTACAATCTGCCCTGGCCCACATGCGGCAGGTGGCCGATGGAAGAGCCCTGGAGCGGGACCACCTCACCAGCCGCCTGCAGGCTGTAGAGCAGCGCATGAGGGAGCTGGAGATGGAGCTGTCTGCCGTCTCCACCGCGCAGACTGACACCGAGCTCCACAACCTCGAGCTCACAAAAGCCCTGAACTGCGTGACGCTGCAGCTCCAGCAGAAGAGCAGAAGCTGTGAAGACCTGGAGGATGAGAACATCGAGCTGCGGGACAGGCTGGATGCACTCCTGACACAGAAGGCCAACATGGATATACAAATGCACATGTGTCAGCAGGTGCTGGTGGAGCACGCAGAGTTGGAAAGACAACTCCAGAGCATGAGAGAGCTGGCCACCACCTTCAAGCTGGAGAGAGACTCTCTGGAGGAAGAACTGATGGTGGAGAGAGGTGTACAGGGAAGGAGAAGGCCTGGCAGCTCTTAGAGGAGGTGGGCAGGCTGAGAGAGGAGAAAGAGCAAGGGGCCAGGCAGGTGTTGGAGCTGGAGGGGGAGCTGGTGGAGCTGAGAGTGCAGTTGGCAGAACTGCAGCGCCCTGCGGGGCCATCTCAGGCTGAGCAGCGGCTGCAGGCTCAGGCCCTGCAGTTGCAGAAGGAGCTCAAGACCCTGGAGGAGCAACTTCTCCTCCAGGTGGAGGAGAACCAGAGCCTCAGTCTCCAGAGCCTGGAGCAGCAGCAGCGGCTACTGGAGAAGAAAGCAGAGGAATGGGAACAGCATGCCTCCGACCGGCGCAAGATCCTGGAGACAATGGAGAAGGAGCAGGAGACCAAGAGACGCACGCTGGTGTGCAACCGCGAGCTGAACGAGCAGCTGGCCCAGCTGCAGGACGGCTGGAAGAGGCTGAGCAATGAGAAGGACTCGCTCGCCGGCCTCCTGCACGCCGAGCAGCAGGAGAAGAAACATCTTCAGGAGAAGCTGGAGCAGCGGGAGGAGACGTTCAAAGAATGGAAGGAGATGGCTGAGTCCAAGCATCAAGAGGCCCAAGAGCTGCAGGATCGGTCCCTGGCCCAGCTGCAGCAGCTCAGAGCCACCTGTGAGCAGCACCTGGCCACCCATCAGCAGCTGAGCACAGAGAAGGAGGCCCTGCAGCAGCACCTGCGGAGGCAGACCCAGCGGCTGGAGCAGCTGCAGCAGAAGCAGGTGCAGGGCACATTGGAGGACCGGACGGTGCCTCCAAAGTTCCAGGACACACTGACGTGCCTGGAAGCCACGAGGCAGGAGAATGCGCAGCTGCGGGCCCAGCTGAGGCTCCTGACTCTCCCTAGAGAAGGCGAAGGAGTGAGCAGAGGGGACAAGGGAGAGGAGGCAGCTCCCCCTGCTGTGACCGTCCCAGAGGACGTGGACAACCCACATACCATGTGGGATTTTTACTGTGCAGCACTGTCCATCGCTGAATCTAAGAAGGCGCAGCTCAGCCGTGAGCTGCAGGAGCAGCAGGCCCGCTGCGAGGGCCTGGCCCACCTGGCAGCCCAGTGCCAGACAGAGCTGGCGCGCCAGGCCCTCTACCCCAAGACCTGGCACCACAGCGCACCTGGGGAGGGAGAGCAGGACAGCCAGAGTCCCACAAAGCGGCTGAAGATCTGCTTCATCTATGACCTGCCTGGCCAGGTGGACCAGCAGAGTCCTGTGGACGACCTCCCCCGTGGCTGCAGCCTGCTGTCAGAACGCATCGGTGCCATGGAGGAGGAGATGGCATCCTGTGAAGAGCAGATGGGCGTCCTGGATGAGCTGCAGCGTGAGAAAGAAGAGTGTGTCCGCCGGCTGATGCAGGAGAAGATGGAGAAGAAGAAGGAGCTGCAGGAACTGCTACTGTGCCTGACAGGGCAGGGCAGAGAGGGCCGGGACTCGAGGCGGGCCGCGGACCTCACCCCTGCTGAGGAGGCCCCCGCAGACCTGGCGGGGCCCTTGCAGGGGGAAGTTGCGGAGGAGCAGCAGGAGCACGGGTCTGAGAAGGCGCAACTCGAAGACAACATGGAGCCTGCCCCAGGAGAAGCCGGGGTGTCATGCCCCCAAGACAGCCCCACCGCAGAGCAGGTGGTGTTGCTGCAGCCTGGCATCCAGCAGCACCAAGAGCATGCAGGCCCGGACAACCAGGCCTCCTTCCCTTTCATCTATAGACTGACGCAAATGATCGGTTTGAGGTAGTTGCCATCCAGAGACCTGGGGGCCAACGCCCAGAGAACGGCTCCTACCCTCCTTCACAGACTTGGGGACATGGCCGCTGGGCGCCGCTCTCTCAGGGCTTGTTAGGATGAGGGAAGGGCCAAAAGCGGGAGACATCTCCTAGTCCACTGGTCAGCAGAGAAGGGGCCCTGTGAAGGAGGATGGGAAGCGATGACACGGGTTTTCTATTAGCTCGTTGTAGTAGAGATGCTATTTTTATGAATCCCATATTAGCATACTCACATTATGTTTGATATATTTGATGCTGATTTATGGAGCTGGCTCCAAAATTCCTTAGACTTTTTTCAGGAAAAGTTTATATTTCCTCAAATGAGTCATTCCATTATTGAACATGATATGTTAGTGGATTCATGCATGTTTTTTAAAAAATCATGCTCTGCACCAGCAACACTGAATTTTCTCATTTGTATTTTAATCTACTATGATGGTAGGATACTGAGGGGTGAGAAACGGTGAAAAGGTCATTCAACCGTTTGGAAAAAATAATACTAATAGAACAATTAGAGGTGTCCTGTAGTGGAAAACATACAGCAAATAAGTACAGAAATGAAATTCAGATAACTTAATATACTTGTGAATTGTTCAAGTGTATATTCATTGAAGCCAATAAAATATTTAAATTCAAAAAAGGTTATTTTGAATTTTTCACTCCGTTCCAACTCCATTTCTTTAAAAAAAAAAATACCCCATACATGGGCTGGGAAGGTGGCTCAGTGGTAGAGCACTGAGGAGCTGAGGGACAGCACCCAGGCCCAGAGTTCAGGCCCCATGACTGACAAAAACAACAACAAAAACCACCTCATACAGCTGGACATTGGTGGCTCATTCCTATAATCCTAGCTACTGAGTAGGCTGATACCTGAGGATCGTGATTCAAAGTCAGCCCAGGCAACAAAGTCTGTGAGACACTTCAATTAACCACCCCTCACAAGTAGAATTGTGGCTCAAGCAGTAGAACACGAGCCCTGAGTGTAAAACCTGAGGGACAGGGCTGGGAAGGTGGCTCAGTGGTAAAGCACTTGCCTTGCATGCATGAGGCCCTGGGTTCAATTCCTCAGCACCACATAAGCAAAAACAAAAAAAGCCGGAAGTGGCGCTGTGGCTCAAGTGGTAAAGCACTAGCCTTGAGCTGAAGAGCTGAGGTACAGTGCCCAGGCCCAGAGTTCAGGCCCCATGACCTGACCCCCCAAAAAAATCTGAGGGACAACACTCAGGCCCCAAGTCTAAGCCCCAGGACCAACCAGTATTTACACACATGCACACACAGACACAGACACACACATCTTGTAGGCCCAACTCAATCCTTGTAACTATTTTTGTCACTCGTTTATAGTCTTTACACTGCTTTGAGTTGCCTTTCTAAAGCACAGATCTAATCATGGCATTTGTGGAAACGCACACACACATAACATAATGGACATCTTTGCCTTGACATAAAGTCTGAACTTCACATATTACCTACAAGTCACTAACCTAGGCCTGTAACATTGTGTATTTATTCAACAAATATCTCTGGAACTCTCTGGACCTGGCCAGAGACTACATGCCAAGGAAGATCTGCAAATGAGATTTGTGCATACACACTAGACGAATAAATAAAAAATGAAATGACAGTCACTGAGATTAATAGATGGTAGGCTTTGGCATGTATGAGGGGTAAGGAAATGGAATCCTGTTAAAATCTACTCTGTTTCTAAGTATCACTTTTATCAGGAGGAAGGATGTCTCAACAGATGAAAATGTGTGTCCCCAGGAATAACAACAAAAATTAAGGTAAATTCACTGAACTAATTGTAAAGGGTTAAAACAATGGTGCTGGATGATTTTGTATTTTTCAATCATTCATGTAATTTATTTTTAAGTCATTTCCTAATTAAAGTAGAATCTGGGGGGATGATGAAAGAGTTCTGCAATGTGTTAGGGTATATTATGTATTTGTCAAACCTTGCCACAGTACTTATTTAAAATCTAAACTTTTTTTTTTTTGCCAGTCCTGGGGCTTGAACTCAGGGCCTGAGAGCTGTCACTGAGATTTCTTTTGCTCAAGGCTAGTGCTCTACCACCTGAGTCCCAGTGCTACTGCCAGCTTTTTCTGTGATTAATTGGAAATAAAAAGTCTCAGGACTTCCCTGCCTGAACTGACTTCGTTCAAACCATGATCCTCAGATCTCAGCCTCCTGAGTAGCTAGGATTACAGGCGTGAGCCACTGGTGCCAGGCAAAACCTGTACCTTTATATGAGGTGTGTTACCTCTCCATTTCTAAAATATGATCTCAAAATTTAAAAAAAGGCCTCTCCCATGTCAGTGTTATAGAACTGAATGGTGCCTTATTTTTCTCTAATCTTATTTAAAATGAATGAGATCCACCATGGTGGTGGGGGGTGGTTGTAGTTGAATGTCTGCAGGTTTTATCAAAACATACAGAAAAAAAAAAAAAAAGCTTAAAAAATATGCAAGGACATCACCAAACAACTTACGCCCATGTTGTCAGAAAAATCACCTTGGCTTCAGTGTGGAGGACTTTAGAGGCTGAGTGGCAAGGATATCGTTAGGTGACTAATGGGATAAAGAAGGAAAGACCCAGTCAGCAGCAGTAGGATTCTTGCAGGGACCGAGAAGAAACAGCTGCTGGCTGGCAAGGCAAC